AGTATTAACACGCACTTCTCATTACGCTAACATCAGCATTCATTGGACACTACACCAACATTTACATTCACTGCACATAGCACCAACACCAACATTTATTTCTGATTGCTTCAACATATATATGCTGGATACTGCAACACCAAAATCAGCGCCGAAATAAATTGTCGACTTAAGACCGAACGCAACAATTGACATCAATGTTAATATATTTTTCATGACTCTTTTTAATTTTTTTTATCCGTTTTTCTAAAAATTGTAATAGCAATCGACAATCCTAGGAAGTAAGCGACAATCTCTAGCCTAGGATCTTTGTATTGACCTTATAAGTTGTGAAAACATTTAATAAACTCGAGAAAATTAAAAACTCATCGACTTTGTAGTTGCATATATTACATTATTTAATATGTATAGGACCACTTCATGTTCCCCGAGGAGTACTGCAGCGCGGGCGCGCTGTACGCCGCCATCTCCTCGCACGCGCAGCGCCTCGTCATCTGCCACGAGGCCGCGCCCGCCTGGCGACACAACGTGCTGCGCGGCGCCCCCCACCTGCTTGCGCTGCGGTACGCACCTCCCCCCACAACACATCCCCCCTACACAACTCACCCCCACACTCTCTAACACTTTAACATCACCTATGGGGGAATATTGTGGGGCAATGCCTTACATAAAATCACTAGACTAAACTTAACTACCTTTCACATGCGACTTCGGTCGCGTGAAATTAAATAAACAAAATTGAGTAGCCTATGTAATCTTCTAGACTACCCTCTACATCTATGCCACATTTCATCGAAATCCATTCAGCTCAGGCTACAAATTTAAACAAACATCCACAAAAACTTTAAAATTTATAATATTAGTGTGATTAAAATGTAGTTTAAGAAAAAAAAATAGCTATAAGTACCTATTTTTTTTTAAATACCATAGTTTGTGACATGTGACAAGAAATTTCCCTTTTTAACTTTTGGTCCGTAGTTCAAGGGAAAATTATGATTTTTCTTGTTCCATCATACTTGTTAATGTTACTTTTTTGCCTTAAATGTTCAGTGGGTTCGTCATGCGCTGGTCAATTTACAATATTAACAAAAAAAAACTTAAAACTTACTCACGATTGAAATAGCTAACAATAGTATTATATTTCCAGTCACGTGATGGACGAAGGCAACGACGACTACAAGATAATAATGCTGAACAAGCGTTTCCTGGGTTTCCGCGTCATCAAGCTGAACCGCGAGTGCGTGCGCGGGCTGTGGGCCGGCCAGCAGCAGGAGCTGGTCTACCTGCGCAACCGCAACCCCGAGCGCGGCTCCATACAGAACGCTAAACAGGTAAACGCCCCCTACCACCCCCCACCACCCTCACAACAACCCTCACTACCCCCACTTCGATCCCCTAAAGCATATTATGTAACTACTATCTCTTCGCGTGCTCCTTCATCCACATGACGTCATAAAAACTGTATCTTATTGTTAGAATTTGTGAAATACAAAATTCAAATGCATAAATGATAACGAAGGCCATAACATTGGATAACAATTACCGTTATCATCACAAACTTGCTTTTTTATATCAGCTTGTAGTTTTTGTCCCTTGTGTTGTCCCGTATGTTGGTTTTTTCTAAATTATTTACTCCCTAAGTTAATAGCGTGGAAAAATATACAGGCTAAAGCGTGACGTAAGTGTAGGGCTTTTTATTAAAGAAAGGATTATTCAAAAATATGCTGTGATTGTGTCTACGCCACAAATTAATGTGTGTTTACGCTTTATTATATTAGTGATAAGTAAAGATATAGATTGATATAGACATGTATGTATTTCCAGGCGCTGCGTAACATAATAAACTCGTCGTGCGATCAACCAATCGGGTATCCTATCTACGTGTCGCCGCTGACCACCTCGTACGCGGACAGCTCGCCGCAGCTGCGCACGCTGCTCG